ACTCTCATCAGAAACATTAAATGTAGAATCTGCATCGATACGTGGATCGGTGGTCTGATATCCGATATGGGAATTATGTTCGATATCGGCAACCTGATACCAGATCATATCCCAATCAATATATCAATCAATACATTCCCAAAAACTCACAGACTGAATCATCGTTCATGAACAAACAACACCCAGAGCTCACTGAGCACACAGGAACCTAAACCTGAGTTCACCTGACAGCCGCACATTGTTCCCCATTTCACTCACACTTGTTTATGTGTTTGCAGATATTGATCATCCCTCTGAGTGTGGTGTGTTGTGTGTGTGTGTGTGTGTGTGTGTGTGTGTGTGTTGGAGGAGGATCATCAATATTCTGCCAAACAGCAGGTTACAGTGAGAGGCAGGCTGTCATTGGTCAGTAAAAAGCTGTTGTGCAGGTGAGTTGTGCAGCTTGTTTTGGCTGCTGATGAAGATGAAGATGAAGATGCAGAGGTCACAGATGAGCGCGCGCAGACAAACAATACTTCAACAGAGCACACAGAGCAACCGGTCAAACCCTCCTCTCGGCCGCCATATTGCCGCCAGTATTTACAAAAAAAAACCGCATCGGTGCAAAAAAAAAAAAAAAAAAAAAAAAAAGGCGCAAGCGAACAAAGGGAGAGGGGGGGGCGGCGCTGCGCGAGCTGGTTTGCGGTAAACCGTGAGCGCGGACAAAGTGCCCGTTAACCGGCCTGGTTCGTGCCGGAGGCCGCAGGTTTCTTACCGATGCAGCAATCAGCGTCGCCGCATAATCCCGATCAACCGCCGTGGCTCCAAATTGATCCGCTCTGCCTCCGTTTGCTGCTCGCTGCGTAAAGCCAGCGGCGATAAGAGGCGGGAAGGAGGAGGGGAGGCGGCGGGAGCCTTCAAAATAAAAGAGAGAGGTTTTGATGCAATGGGATTTTTATTATTATTTTTTTTTAGATATAAAATCTATGGAAGCAATTTCAACCCAAATGTAAAACTGTAAGTCATTAATACTGAGAATAATTCTCAAATATTGACTTAGGATCTCAAAATAATAACTTTGTGATACTAAATCTAAATAATAAATAGATTTATCAAGCATCTAGTAGCAGGCATACAAACATACATTAGACATACATTAGAATAAAAAACCTATACAAAAAGTAAAAGTAGAAATAAAATAGCTTTTATAAATAAAATAGCTTTTATTAAACTATGTGCAATTAAAATTAAAATTAGGCTGTCGACCAATGAATGAAAGAATTAGATAATAATAATAATAAGATACTAAGTATTTGTTTTTTTATGTCACGTTGGCAGAAATGGGCTTCAATATAAAAACAAACACACAATTATAAGAATATAAATCTATTATAATATATCAGTTATATTTTTTTATTTGTGTTTTTGTTTTCAGATTGGTCGTATTAATTTCTAGATTTTCTAGCATGTTTTAATGTCGCGCTAAGTTTCTTTTATAGGATTATATTAGAACATTTCTTCATGATTTTATTATCTATATAGTTTAATTTGACTCACTGCAGTGTGAACTTTTTCCTCATTAAACAAAGGTAAAAACTGTAATGTATATATTTACTGTCAGTGGTTAAAAACATTAATGGCGGCAGTTTATTGTTGACTTTTTGTTGATTTAAAGAAATGTATCTGCAACTATTTTGCTATTCGATTCATCGTTTCGATTCATCGATTCATCAAACAACCTGGTTTTAGCTTTTGAATTATGAGGATTGGTTGCATTTATTTTCTTATTGTTGGATCAGAATTATTCACATTTACTCAAATTTGTACAGACAAAACAATTTTATTAATCCAAAAAAATTTGGCTTTTATTATTCAATAATATTATTATTATTATTGAATAATACAAAATCACTTTATTACAAAATGATTGCACAGATTTAAAAATCTGAATTAGAATTTTAAAAATACTTTATCGATCCAGAGGGAAACATTTTTTTAATTAAAGTTGCTCAGGTTGACATTAAAGAATATAAATAAATATATTATAGAACATTAAAATGATGTATTATATTACAATATAGAATATATATAGCAAACAGAAAAAATAGAATATATATATCATATATATGCATATACATACATGTACATAATAATAGTATAAATATTATTATATAAAAGATATTAGTATCTGTTTGCTACAGTATGTGATTTCAAAGTAAATGTCTCGATCACTCTCTCGTGATACATCAATTAAAACTATTCAATTAAGCGTGCTTTTATTTTCTAGCCGGAAGTGTGATGTATTATTCGGGTGCTGTGACGCTGCTTGTTGTGCAGGCCACAAATTCTTCCTCCGCCGAGTCCCGCCTTTCTCCCTCTTGCCAAATAGTGATCCAGCCGATTGTTGTTAGCGCGGTTCGCTGCTCGCTCTTCCTGCCAAATACTGAGCCTCTCCGTTGACCCGTTTTTGCCTCAGAAAGATCCGAAAGAGCAGAAATATTTAAACTCTTACAACATTTGGCCTCTGCGCTGCGCGGCCATCTAAACTTTAACGACGCAGTGAATTTAATACGTCGTTAAATTAATAAAACATCCGCTGCATTGTAGTGCGCGCGGCGGCACAGCAGGTGGCGCGCTTTTTACCGGACATAAAGAGGGAGTGAATGTATGAGCTGACCCAGACATTTAAAGCCAGTATACGTTAGTTCAGTGAGGTTTTTTTAATTAAATTAAATTAATTTAATATTTAACATTTAAATTAATTTTTATTTTATGTTTAATAACAAAGTAAAACCCTTGTCTACACACTCCGGTACAGCAGGGGGCGCAAAGTACATGATCGCAATCCGCTGTAAACTGAACAGAAGAAGAAGAGCTGACCCAGAGTCAGTCTGTTGGTTATTAGCTGCGTTTTATTGGCGAATCGAACGTGAAGAAGAGCTGATCTGAGAGCAGCTAACAGTTAACGGACACACGGTAGAGGAGGCGCCTCGCGCCGGGGGGGGAGTGCGTTCGATTGTATTAAAGAGACGACCCATTGGGGCGGTGTTTATATCATTTCAAACGGTAATAGAGGGAGATGAGACAGCGCCGCCCACCCGGACAACCCCGGTGTCAAAACAAAGCGACTTACTGTTAAATTACAATCAGCGGAGGAATTTCTGGTGAAAACCGAAAGCCGCCCTCCGCACACACACACACACACACACACACGCACGCACGGTTACCGATCCGTTAACGTCGTCGACCGTTTAGCTCCATGATAGCGCAGAACCGTAGCTCTGATTCACGCAGCGGGACACCCTGGAAGAGCCGGAGATACCTCAGGAGGATGCCGAGCAGCGGGCCGTCGGTGTGAGCGTCGACCCGACAGGATGTGACACGAACCGGGAGAAAGCAGCGAGCGAGGACACCGACATCATGTTGGTCCGGAGCTCCGTGAGTCACCGGGGGGGTCGGGGGGGGTTAACGGTAATACACGTTAAAATAAACCCGAACCGGTTAAATTAAACAACAGAGTCACGGTCTGCTGTTAGCTGCTGTTAGCCACATGTTAATGCTAACGGAGAAATCAATGTTAAAGTGGCTAACGTTAGCTTCAGGGTGAGCTAACGCGTCCGTAAGTTTATATTAACTAATATATATTTATTATCATTATTTATTTATATTATTATATCACCGGTTGGGTCGTCAGGTAGCTGCACAGGTGAAGCGCAGGTAAACACTGTTCTCACCTGTTTGTTCACTCAGGTAAACAGAAAGTAGAGCAGCTGCTTCATCGATTACACTGATCAGTCACATATTGGATCTGATCGTCTTTATCTGTATCGATCCTCTGTAGGTTCGGCACAGCAGGAACATGTGAAGGATTAAAACACTATGAAATGTTAATGTTTAAAGGTATTGAGCACAAACTGTTAATAATAATGAATATTATATGTTTTATAAATCAATAACAGCTGATAACTAACTGCAGAGGTTTGATTATTACCTGTGAATATTGATAGTTTATTATTGGTTGTTTTATCAGAGACTGAATCTAAATATAAAACAGTTTTAAAAAGATAAATCACGATGAAGAGCATCTTAAATGAACATTACTGAGCTTTTTCTGCACATTTATTTTAATAATATATTTATATTAATATATTTATATTTAATATAAACTGTTCACATCTTCAGAGATCTTAAATAATAATCTAAACTTTAAAAAATAACAGTTCCTTTTAGTTTTGGGCTCGCTGCGTATATTTAAAATATATTTACTAATGTAACTAATTACTGGCTGTAATATTATCACTGACATATATTAGTAGTTAGTTACAGGAGAAAGTAATGTTATATATTAATATAAGTGATAAATGTAAAACCTGAAGAGAAAGTTTACAGGATATAAAACAGATAAAGTTTCTGTCTGTCTGTAAACACCTGTTACAGTTCGGACTCTCTGACACTGAACTCAAACTGCTTCACACTGTTTATGATGTTCGTTAAAGCTCTTCCTCTGTAACGTCGCTGCGCTCGTCACCCCGCCCTCTGTCTACAGCCTCTTCTCACTTTTACACTTCGAGTCAGAAATCTACTTCTTCTACAGCTAATTCACCCGGTGCGTCCTCCTGTACGGATGGTTTCACGTGTTACAGGTCTGCAGCTGTCGGTTCATTAAGGAATAAAGTATTCTACAGATTTATTCCCTCAAACTTTCACCCACATCCTCCAACAATCTCCTGTCTCCAGGATCGTTGAACTTCAGTTTACAGACTTTGTCTTTACCGAGCACGTGCCGACTCCAGAGAGATGAGAAGGACAAAGTGTTTCATTATTCTTTCAGCGTCTGACTGAACTGCAGGTTGGAGGTTTCAGAGCAGACGTGTGTTTGGATCACAGATGAGTAGTTAATGTTTGCGCCTGTTTTTCCCGCCGCAGCACGGCCGAGGCCGAGCCAAAGTGAGTCACGCCGTGGTGGTGATCTTCCTGGAGTTCTTCGCCTGGGGGCTGCTGACCACGCCCATGCTGACCGTGAGTCAACACACACACACACATCAACACACACACACACACACACACACATCAACACACACACATCAACACACACACATCAACACACACACAC